GGGCCATAACTTGGGAGGGGGGGGGGTGCATTAACACTGGACGACCTTATAGGTAGGGATGGAAGTTAGAAAAAGAGGAGTCTACTGGGGCCCCAAGGGAGAACTAGAAATTGGCTAGAAGAGGGATGTCTGTGGGTATGATGGGAAAGCAGTGAAGTTGACAACATGCATATTCTAGGGAGAAAACAAAGAAGGTACAAAGTCCCAAGAATCCGAATTGTTCGGAGAGAATGAAAGTCAGCAGGGGCCTGACTGCAAAGGGTATTCTAAATTTTACCCTGCCGGGACAATGGGAAAACCACTGAGAGTCTGGATGGAATCCACCTTGAATAAACAGCTGAGAACCCAAAACCAGCTAGGTGGTCTATTCCAGGATTATTTTCTATGAAAATGTTGCTATTAACTTACTATAGTAGCAATTATATTGAACAACTAGATCCCTTTTGACCAAAGGTTTCTACATACCAGAAAATGATATGTATACATATCTTTTCACTAGCTGTGAACTCTGCGTAAAGCATTCCTTCAGTACTGTCTCTTCTAGTTGCTTACCTAATGGAAAATGCTGTTTGAGTACAGATCATGAAGGCTGGCAAAACATGCTGGGAATCTGGCAGCTGAAAAACCTCAAGATCTGTGCATTGTGACTCTTGCTGGTAGGTAGAAGAGGCCCACAGTGGAAAGCAAGACTGGACCAAGGACAAGAACCAAACATTTACCAATTCTAACCTCACCTCATCAGACAACAGCAGCATTCCACAAACGTAAAATATAACACAGTGAATTTGAACTATACTGGCAACAGAATTTGGCCCCTAATCTATAACATAATCTTGTTAGAAAACTGTGGCTAATTCCTTAAGTAACACAGGATTTTCCAATTTTCTAATTTTTATTGGGCTATCACCAAGAACATTAATTTAACAATGGGATAGAGTTTGACAATTTTTATTAGTACAAATGTGTTGTTTCATATAAATCTGCATTTCATCAACTAGAATAATAATAATAAATATAATAATTTTCCTTTTATTCAGGTCTATTTTGTGTTTCTTTCACAGGCTGGAAAGCAAACCTTCACACAGGGATTGACAAGTCAAAGGAATTGAGAAGCTCCTTACTGGCCGGGATCCATTTTTGGCACTTGTCACAGAAGTAAGACAGCTGCTCCTCCATCCACGACACATCTCCTTCATCACTGTTGAGGGAATCCCCACTCTGGTCATGAGATAAGTCCACTGAAGCCTGGTCCTCTGACTCAACAATCAGAAGCGTCTCTCCCTCCACTTCACCTTCCTCCAGCCCTTCAGAGGTGGATGTCCTTGTGGCTTCATCATCATGCCGACTTATCAGACTGCTCAGCTGGATGCTACTATCCATGGTTTCCTGCTCCCAACACTGCTAAACTGGGGGCACTGAGCTGACAGGATCACTACCACAATCACTGAGACAGGAACTCTTCAAAAGAGCATCTGTTCACAACTACTTTATTCAGGCACAACTGATTTTTAAAGGAGTCATTTAGAAGAAAGGATCCACTGTCCTTTATTTAATCATGTTTAAATGGACAGTGATTTGAAAAAAAAAAAAGGCCTCAAGCTCTCACTAAACTACACTCCATCAACACAGCACCTGTGCACCCCATGTACACACACACTCTTACTCAGCGCAGCCCCATCCATTTTCACAAAGTCAAGTGTTTTGAGATCCTTTTTCCAACATCTTCTCTCTTTCTGCTTCAAGTTGCTTAGTCAAATTAATCTGTTCTCCCAAAAGACGAATGTTTTCTTTTTTCTGATTTTGCCTCTCAATGTCTCTGATCACTCCGTCACGAAGCCTCTAAAAACGTAAGAAGCAGATTTCAGTTACACTTGAACAGGTGGCTCCCATCCTGTGCCACTGAAATCCAAATAACAGTACCACCAAAAATATACTCAAAATGTTCCAATTCCAAATACCCAATTACTATTTTAACTTTCTGTACAATGTAAATAAACCATCAAGTAAATTTGGTAATGTGTTATGTTAATACTGAAATTACTTATCTTAAATTCTTGAACACAGAAAACTTAATAGGAATTAACAAAATTTTTTTTAAGAACTGGCGCTATGTTGAATTTTAAAAGTTTAACTGACAAAAAGCAGTCATCTGAGATGAATAAAAACCATCAAGAGGAAAAGGGTTACTAAAATCTAAACAAACTCTAAAGGATACAAGAAAATAAAGAATTTCTGTCATGCAACATGAAAAAGCAAAAATACAAAATTCCTCATCAATTATATGAAAAAGGGGAAAAAGACTACTGCTGGTGGGTAAGTTCCCCGGTGAAAGCTACTTTGATAAACACTAAAAGCAGAATCCCAGGATGTGAACCTGGTATCTAACAAGAGACTTAAAAATATCCACTTGCTGCCAGGCATGGTGGTGCACGCCTGTAGTCCCAGCACTTGGGAGGCAGAGGCAGGTGGATCTCTGTGAGTTCAAGGCCAGCCTGGTCTACATAGTGAGTTCCAGGACAGCTCAGGCTACAGGGAGATCCTGTCTCAAAAAGACAAAAAAAAAAAAAAAAAAAAAAAAAAAAAAAATCCATTTGCTTACTACTATTAACATTTTACAGATAAGAACTGAGTATGGTGGCACACGTCTTTAATCCCAGCACTTGGGAGGAGGCAGGGGGATCTCTGTGAGTTCAAGGCCAGCCTAGTCATTTGGCAAGTTCCAGTCCAGCTGGGGCTAGAGGGAGACCCTGTCTCAAAAAGACCAAAAAAAAAACATACATTTTACAGTTTGTAGCTCACCAAAATAGTATGTTTTTAACATCAGCTTCATGAGATTATTACATGTATTTTTTAATATTTTATTTATTATTTTTATTTTATGTGTATGCATGTATTGCCTACGTGTAGGTAAGTGCACCCGTGTCATGCAATGCCTGAGGAGGACAGAAGAAGGATCCCCTGGAACTGGAGTTATGGACAGTTGTTAGCTGCCATGTGGGTGCTGGGATTCGAATCTGGGTCTTCTGCAAGAACATTCAGTGTTCTTAACCACTGAGCCATCTCTCATATTACATGTATTCTTAAAGACTTCCCTAGTACTTGCTGAGCCTCTTCCAGGCCTACAGCCACACTTGCTAAAATGAGGGAGCTGGGACATTTAAGAGCACTGGGTTGGCAAGTCAATGGAAACTCAATTTTTGTGCTGTTTTGTCTGGTACAAGGTCTTGCTATGTAGCCCAGGCTGGCCCTAAATTTGAGATCTCCTGCCTTGGCCTTCCAAGTACTGAGATTGCAAGAGGGCATCACAGGTGACTGAACGTTCTTAAACTTTGTATATCCTGTTTTCCTGTTACCATACTTCTCACCACAGGAAATACCCCCACACCCCACAAAGCCCACACCATAGCCTGCAGAAGTCCTCCCCTCCTTTTGTAAAACATAGCATTTGTTTATGAGTTTGCTCTCCATTGCATCACTGGCCACCTTTCTCCAAGGGACTGCCTCATACATATATCAAGTAGCTTCAGCCTGCCATACTAACCAGAAAAGATGTCTTTACCAACCCAATTCTAACATGTGGAGCTCTGCTTCATGTAGTAGTACGGGTGCTCCTAACTTACAATAGACTCATCATAAACTGAAAATATCAAAAGACGCACCCAGCAAACATCAGACTCAGCAACACAGTACACCACAGAGCGTCATCATCGTGTGGCTCCCTGGGAGTTGTAGCTTGCTCCACTACTGCTCAGCATCTTGGGAGGCTCCTAACCATTTATCACCCGTCTGAGAAAATACCAAAATTCAATATCCAAAGTAATCTTCACTACATATAAGTTATATTGCTTTCCTGCGAGCATAAAGTCAAAACCAAGTTGAGTCATTATGTTAGGGACCATGTGAACTTGGGTTTCTGCTAAATTGCAGGGAGGATGAAGATAATGTATATGAAGTCAATCACTGCCTGATGTGGGGGTAGACAGTAATTATTTCATTTCTTGCTTTATTTAACTTTCTGACACATCCATCATGCCAAACCCTGCCCTCCTATTTCCCACAACTAGAAAGTAAGCACCTACCAAAGATCTACAGGACAAGTTATTCTGATCAATGGTTGTTCATTGCTAATTTCCAAATCCTAAATATACTCTTGCACTCTTTAATAGTGATTCTCAACCCTGGCTGTGTTTTGTTAAAGCACTTTGCATGGCTTTTGGAATGTATCCGAGTCCCCAAACTCAGAAAGTCTTGTTTAACCGGTTTGGTGTGGAGGGTACAAGCTCTGTCACATCCTAAAAACTTCTCGAGGTAACGTGATAAACAATTTGACACAAAGCTCTAATTCCATCCTGCTGTCTTCACGAATCACTGGATTCAGTCATCAGGATGACACAGACATCCTGTCCTCTCCTCCAAATTTAACCAGGATCATCATCTTTTCCTTTTCCTCTAAGAAGGAAGGTTCTTGCCTCTATTCTAAAAGCTACCCCGGTAGAGCCATACTCTAATCCTGAGTCTCTATTTTGCCTGTGAACACCAAGGTCAAACATCACTTCTGCTTCATCTGTGTATTAAACCCAAGGTCCTGAGCAGGCCAACCACGAGGACTATTTTCTCTCGCCGAATTCAGTTCATTACTTCCCTTAGGGTTCAACCCAAGTACCAGTCGAGGGGTTACGTAAGATCAACAAGGACCTGCTTGCAATAAGCAGCACCGTTGCAAATTATGAACAGTGTGGCTCTGTACTTAACTATGTACTTTTAACGTGCCTAGAATGGTGGCCCGCACAGAGATCAATCGTAGAGAACTTGAATGAGAACATAACCCTGACAGATGAGACAGACAGTCGCTGATCAATAAGCCAGATATATCCAGGGGGGAAAAAAAAAAGGAACAAAAAAAACTTGGAGGAAACTCTTATCGTTTCTATAGTAAACTGTTCATCTACCCAAAAGTTACATAAATCTCACCAAATTACCTTGGCCAAAGGCACTGGGTGTAAGCTAGGTGTGAGTATGCCTTATCTTGGGATATATAATTATCAGTTATTGTCTTGAGGGCAGGGGCTGGACCCGGGCCTGGTGCTCCTGGACTACGCCCAGCCCTTGGGGTCATTGCACTGGAGCCCCGGAGGCTTCGGACGCGCTGCTGGGCCACGGGGCTGGCGAATAACCTGAAGGTGCCCCCAGAAGCGGTTCCGCGCCTTCCACTCGGCAGCGACCCGCTGGCCGGGGTCAGAGCAGCCGGGGCAGACAGGGACCATGGTGACCACGCGGGCCCGGACCACCGCGCGCCCCGGAAGACGCGGTCACGTGACACCGACCTGCCGGTCCTGCTGCTGCTTCAGGTGCACGCCGGCCACTGTGGCCGCCGTCAGCAGTACCGAGAGGCCCAGCACCACCTTCGAGCTCGTCGACATTCCCGCTCCGTCCCGCGGCCTCGCTCCACCGCACGCCGAGGCCGCCGCCGTGCCGCCGCCGTTCCGAGCCAGGCTCGACTCCTCGATCGCAGAGCTGTTGCGGGTTCTCTGTTGCCGCCAGACTCGAGCAATCGAGCGCCGAGAGCCATCCCTGCTTCACTTCACCGCACCGCCTCTGCTTGGCGCTGTGAGATGGCGGGGCTCCGGGTCTCTACACCCCTGGTACGGCCGGGAGGGGCTCGAGGTCCTCCGGGGTGCGGAGTGCGGTGCTCAGTCTCTCTCTCTCTCTCTCTAGGTCTTCCTCAGTGCCCCGCCGGCCTCTCTGGAACGCAGCCCGCGGGGCCGTGTGGCCGGCAGGGACCACCAGGAGGCCGCTAGGCCGGGCGCCTTCGAAGGGAAGGGATCCTCGTGGAATGTATGCGAAAGAATCCTTTGAACCACCGGCTTTCACCTAGACGCCACCGCGGCCGAGCAACCCTTGCGTTTTAGAATCTTAACAGTAGGGTTGTTTTTGATATGGTCTCCCTATGCCCAGCCCAGGCTGGCCTCTTACTCCTCAATTCTCCCACCTCAGCCTCCTGAGTGGCTGGATTTACAGGCATGGGCTAAAGAGTGCATAACCAGGATTGACAGCACATCGCCTAAATGCGCTGCCCATATAATCTTTAAGAGATTGTTACTATAAGACCCTTGGAGACTCACTTTACTGCTAGTAATGCAGGATTCCTTAAACGTTCATCCTAACTAGGAATAGAAGAAAGAATAAAGTAGTTCATAAGGGACTGGAAGGTTCATTTGCACTTAATTTGAGCAGAAAGAGGCTTGGTCTCCCTCAAGTGCTTACACGTTTATCAGAGCTGCCAGTGAAGAGCTTTATCAGTAAGTCATTCTGTCGCACTAAAATTCACATCGAAAAAGCTGTTTTCGATGGAAATTTCCATAGATCATGTTGCTAGGGCAAAGCTAGGCCTTGCTTAGCTTCAGCCAAGGGCTTTTCCAACATTCACCTCTGTCAGAATGCTTTGCTGTTCCACTCTGGTAATGAAGCGTAAGTGACATGAAGAAAATATTGCTCTTACAAATTGTAATAAAATTTAAAAAATGAAAGATAACTTTTTGCAAATATCAGTCTGACTACAGCATTTTGGCAGCCTGAGGAAAATGTATCTTTGAATTTCAAAATGGAATTTCTGGGGCTGGAGAGATGGCTCAGCGGTTAAGGACACTAGTTGTTCTTGCAGAAGACCTGGGTTCGAATCCCAGCACCCACATAACAGGTACCACCTATCCGTAACTCCAACCCAACAGCCAATTCTGACCTCCGCGGGCATTGCACAACACGGGTGCACTTACCTACAGGCAGGCAATACATGCCTACACGTAAAATAAATAAAAAAGTTAAAAAAAAATGGAATTTCCAGTGTAATGAATTTTGGAATGAGAAGAAATCCAGGATGTATTTGCATATTTCTCTAAAGAAATAAAAATTATACTGTATTATTATTTGTGATAGACCCCAAAAATTTTCACAGTAAATCAGTGAGCTCAACAACTTTGCATATTATCAAATAATCACAATTATTTTTTAATGATGAGCTGGAGAGATGGCACTGACTGCTCTTCCAGAGGACCTGGGTTCAGTTCCCAGCACCCACATGGTGACTACCAACCATCCATAACTCCAGTTCCAGGGGATCTGATGCCCTCTTCTTACCTCCAAGGGTGCCTCCAAGGGCAGCCACATGTATGACACACGGACATACACATACACATGAATAAAAATAAATCTTTGAAGAAAAAAATTATGAAATATTTTTTACAAAGCATAGCAGTTTGTTGATTATTTTTATTTATTATTATTATTTTTTGGTCTTTTTGAGACAGGGTCTCCCTGGCCCCAGCTGCCAACAGTTCAGGCAAGGGAACCTAGCAGATAATGCTTGGAATTCAACAGAAAAGCAAGTTGAAAAAGATCTTTGTTGATTATTTTTATTTATTATTATTATTTTTTGGTCTTTTTGAGACAGGGTCTCCCTGTAGCCCCAGCTGTCCTGGAACTCACTATGTAGGCCAGGTTGGCCTTGAACTCACAGAGATCTGCCTCCCTCTGCTTCCTGAGTGCTGGGATTAAAGGCGTGCACCACCACACCCAACGGACTAATTTATTTTAAATATACACATAATGACAAAATAATCTTATAACATACCTAACTGATATAAATTTGACTTTATTTTTTTATTGAGTTTTTGTGCATATCATATAATAGATCTTAATCAAATTTAGACCTCCTCCCCCATAAAACAAATCTTAGAAAACAAAAAGGACAGAAAGAGGCTTGAGCTCTGTCAGCCTTGTGAGAACACAGCCATCTACAAACCAGAAATCAACCCCTCACCAGAACCCACTGAGGCTGGCTCTCTGAAATGAAACTTTCCCGTCTCCAAAAGTATATGAGAGATTTTAGCACAAAAATAAAGTGGGAGTATATATCTACCTTCCCAGACTCAGTATCACCCAAGAAGAGGAGATTTAAGACCCACTTCTTTAGAGTCTTCCAGCAACTTTCCTTTAGGAAGTAGGCAATGGCTGACCCTGAATTCCTCATTCCTTTCTTCTCTGAATTACCACTGACTCCCAACTTTTTCCAAATGGAAAAGTTCTGGTTAACCACTGCAGACTCCAGCTGAGGGGCCAGCAAGGTGTCTCAGCTGGTAAAAGCACCTGCTGCACAAGCCTGAGGACTCGAGTTCAGTCCCAGGAACCAACAGTGGAAGGAGAGTACCAACTCCTAGAAGTTGTCCTCTGTCCTCCATGTGAGCATCATGCATGACACATGTCAATGCACACAGATACACATTGGACAAATTATTCCATAATATTAGTGAACAGTACACTCTGGCACTGTGCACATTTTCCAACTGGTTCTACGTATCAAATTCTACGTATCTCTCGGAAGACAGAGTGGAAAAATGTAAGAGCTGGAGGATGGGGAGGAGTGCTGTGATATGACATGGCTGTTAACACTCAAGAACTCACAGCAGCTGTGATTATCTGCACAAGACTGAGTCTGTCAACATTCCATTATGGATGAGGGAGGGGTTCATGATGGCTCGTGAGGGTGTGGGGAGTCATTTTTTCCACTGGTGTGTACAGCCACTGGTAACTTGCCCGATGTTTTGTAAATAACCTCACCCCCATGTTCATGCAGGCATTTCATAGAAATAGGAAACAACAACAATTAAACAATCTTAAAGTTTATATGGAAGGACTTCCAGCTAGCCAAAGGACTCCTGAGTAAAAATAACATGCTGGAGGTACTACAATACCTGATTTCAAATTATCCTTTAGAGCCACAGTAACAAAATCAACAATACCCTGACAGAAAATAGACACATACAACGTTGAGATAGAACAAAAAACCCAGAATTAAGCCTACCTGGCTACAATCACCTGATTTTTTTAAATTAATTGATTTATAGTCAGAGTCTCACTATGTAACCCTGACTGGCATGGAACACACTGTGTAGACCAGGCTGACCTTGAATCACAGATCTGCCTTCCTCTGCTTCCCTAGTGCTGGGATTAAAGATGTGTGTCACCACACCCAGCCCTCTTCTTTCTTTGAGACATTGTCTTATGTAGCCTGAGTTGGCTTTGAACTCACTACCTTGAACTGATCCTCCTGCCTCCACCTCCCAAGTTCTGGGATTACAGGTGAGTGCTACCCTGCCTCACTTATACAGAGCTGGGGATCAAACTCAGGGATTCAGGCATGCTAGGCAAGCAGGACTGAATTGTGTCCCCATCCCCATAATGGAGTTTTATTCAGCCATAAAGGAGAATGAAATTATGTTGTTTGCTATAAAATTGGTAGTACTTGAGATCATCATATTAAACAAAATATATGACATGAAAGAAAGACTAGAGAAGGAAGGAGACTAGAAGACAAGGGGGGGTATGGAAAGGTGAGTATGGGCAAAGTACAAGGTATGCTTTAAAGAAATGCCCAAATGAAGCCTGGTGCTATGTGCCGTCAATGCACACTAATTTAAAATGGACTTCAGGAGCTAGAGAGATGGCTCAGGCTGTTAAAGCACTGGCTGTTTTTACAGAGGACCAGGTTTGGTTCCCAGCACCCACATGGCAGCCCATAACAGTCCATTACTCCAGTTCCAGGGGATCCAACACCCTCTTCGGGCCTTCACAGGCTTTGTACAACATGAGTACGCTTACATATGTGCAGATAAAATACTTATAAAACAAATTTTTAAAAATTGAAAAACGAGAAAGACTTACCTTTTGGAACTTTGTTTTCCATTTTTCTTCCTTCCATCTACTTCCTTCAAGGAGAAGAGTAGTTGTAACCCTCCAAGCAGAGGCTGTTATCAGAAGTTTGCCTTTGTGAGCATGCAAAGCTCTGTAGAAGAGTCCAGAAGCAGGGCTTTGGGCTTGAAGTAGCTGATCAGCTGATTCATGATTTGGAGACAATCTCTTGCTTCAATGGGCTTCAATTTCCTCTTTACTATGAGGGAAAATAATGTCTTCTTACTCTTTATGGACGAATTGAGATGATTAATAGTATGGCTGTACCGAAGTCAGGCATGTGGAAACATCACAGAGAGCCACCAATTGTCCCCTGGGAGTCAGATGACCTGGGCTCCTTGGACTCTGTAGAAGGGAGAAGGCGGGAAAGTAGGAAGACTGACACTACCACAGTGAGCAGTGGCCCTGGACCCCTGTCCTCACAGATGTTGAAAAGATCCAGGTACAGTTGAGGAAGCCTTTTGGCAGTGACTTCCTCCCTGGCCACAGAATGTTGCTGCTGACAGAGCTTGCCCGAGTTGAGAGTTAGAGCCTCTCTATTTCAAGACACAGATGCTCCCTGACTTCCGATGGGGTTAAGTCCTGACAAGTGCATTATAAGTTGAAAATAGCAATTCAAGATGCAATGACCATATACCTCACCTACCGAGCATCCTGGCTCAGTGACACAGCACATTGTAGAGTATCAGCTGTTCTCTCATAGTCATGAGGCTCTGGAAGCTCTGACTCACTGCACTGCCTAGCATTATGAGAGGGGATCACACTGCGCATTGCTAGTTCAGGAGAGGATCAAAATTCAAACTTTGGAGCTGGGGGTGTAGCTCAGTACTAGGCCATATGCTTAGCATGTTCAAGGTGGTAA